TAAAACCTGCATCTCGAAATTAACGTCGTCAAGTCGCGAGTCCCTACATATCACTTTCCTCAGTCGTGAGTCTCGACTTCCTCGCAAGTCGCGCATCACCAATTTCTTCAAAATCTAGGGTTGGTCGCGACATAACCCATGAGTCGCGACCTCATCTCGCAAGTTGTGACTTCATCTCACGAGTCGCGACTCGAACTCGCGAACATCTCCTTCAGGCTCTGTAAATCTCGTGAGTCGTGACCATCTTGCGAGTCGTTTGGGCGCTTTTTCAGTCCGTTTTTCAGACCTTCCTTTAGTTTTTTGGGCTCGGCAATGGGTATTCTCGATATCACGGTCTCGGCTCAAGCAGTCCCAACCTCAACCGGCACAACCTACCTCCTGAAATCACAAACACAGAAAAACACGAAGAAAAAATACAGCAGAAAGACGCACAAATAAAAACTAAAGAGAAAAACACAAAACCAAATAAATGGATCAAATAAGCTACGAAAATCCTACAAGTGGAGAAAATAAACTCAAAATAAAGACAGAAATATGAGACAAACAATATAAACACTCTTACTTACCAAAATACCGAGTACGTCATCCTAACAGAATTGGAATAAATAAGTAATGAATATATATGTCATTTTATATTGTCTTACAGCTTAAAAGTACGTATCAGTAACTAAATGTCTAGATTATAACTACAATCAGTAAATCTTGTAATCTTAACCTTCCGCGGTCCGTTCAATACTTATCATAAGTACTAGTTTAATTCATCAGTTAAAGACTAACTGAATCAAGACTACACTACAATGTAAAATAATGGAGTTATGATTGCACAATAAATTTGTGAACAATAAATTTATATTTTACAAAAAACCGAGAATATGATCTTTCTATTCGACACGACGAATCATATTATCTACAATATAAAATAATGGAGTTATGATTACACAAATAAATAAACTGCAAACATAAATACTTTGACTAAAATACGATTGCCAGATCAAAATAGTATTGTTTATATCTGAAAGTCAAGCTTTTACAGCATATCTAACATGTATAGTTGTAAACCAAATTAAATATATGCTATGTTATCAAACAAATGTAGATTTGATCACAAATCAATATTGTAGATAAACACGAAGAAGTAAGTCAACTTTATCTGTTTGATTCGATTTAAACAATATTTTTTATCAACACTGAATTATTTCAATTGTGAATTGCTATTTACCTCCCCTTTTTAGTACTCACCGTCCCCACTCAATTACGTTTTTGCCCTTCACACTATCTCTCTACTTTCTCTCTTTACTCTTTTCCTCTCGACTTTTTACAGTTTTTTTGGCCGTAAAAAAAAATTCAAAAAAATCCAAAAAATATCATAACACCGACAAGACATTAAAAATTAACTATGTATTTTTTTTATATTTTACTTTGTAAATAACATTTATTTTTTTTTTTTTTTTTTTTTTTTNNNNTTTTTTGCGCGTTAATGTGGCGTATAGCCGTATGCAATATGAATTCATCTATTTTTAAATTTTTGTTTAAAGAATTGATTTTTCATGGATACAGTTGTTAAAACTGATAAGATCAGATTACCCCGTTCCTATTCCTATTCCTATCCTTTTAGGTCAATTAAAACAGTAGAACTCTCCCTATGTATATATAAAGGAAGCGTATCCACATTAAATTAAATCGATACCAGAATAACTAAGACCTAAAGAGAGTTATGGATCTCAATCCCGTGGATAGAAGACGGCGACCGGGGTACGATTACCGCCACCAAATCCAGATTGACGACGGCAGGAATATGGACTTGCACCGGGGTATGCAGTGCCGGGCTCGCTGCCAGTTCCACTTCCAGTTTCAGACCAATTTCATCCTCAAACCAAAAGACGTCGGCGCCGGAGAGAGAACCCTGTGCTCCGAGACTTTCGTCGACGTCCCCTTCGACGGCGAGAACGAGTTTGAGTTCTTATTCTGCTCGAAGCTCCGGCTGAGGGAGTACTGGATGCCGGAGGCCCAGATCCAGGAATTGGTCAGCGAGGCGTTGGAATCGTGCCGATCCACGATGTCATCGACGGCGGACAGGGATCCACGTGTCGTCCCCGTGACCGTGACGATCGACGTCTGCACGGTACAGCAGGACGGTGAGGAATTGGACGCCGCCGTGGATCGGGCGATTACGATTGAGAATCTGCTGCCGGTGCTATTTTTCGACTTCGATCTAGTTGTCAGGAAGAATTCCTTTGATGCGAGGGGCATTCCCTGTATGCTGGCGTCTTTCGTCTGGGTAGATATGGAGAGGTTCAGATTGGAGGATGTTGAGTTGGGCTTGGGCTTGATGAGGAGTTGCCCGATATGCGACCGGGCCCCCACACTCGGGGCCCAATTATCGACTATTGTGTGCGGCCACACATTTCATTCCCACTGCATAGTTGGGTCACTGCTTGATAAGAAGAAGAACTCGTGCCCGGTGTGCAATGTGCCCGTCTATGAAGAAAATCCAGATTGGTTATGATTAAATTGGGCTTAGGGCTTCATGCAAACCCAAGTTTTTTCTTTTTCCAGTTTTATATTTCTACATTCTACTCTCTTTTTTTTAAAAAAAAAAAATTAATTTTATCCAATATATTATTTGCACGCATGTGTTTTAATCATCACATAAAATAGAAAAATTGCATTGTGTGGTTGGTTTATGGTCTTGCCTTGTCTTTTGGTTTTCTGGGATGTCTGGCTTCAGCTTCGGGTTTTCTAGGCCTACTTTGGTGGTTGTATTCCTGTTGTTGGTCTTACCGTGGTATTTTACTTCTCCTTTTTTTTTCTGCAAAAAAAAAACATTCCTAAGAACTTGTGCTCGGGTGTGATATGCAAAATGTTTTGGATCTGGACCATCTGGTTGGATAACGGACAACTACTAGCTTATCGAGAAGGAGTCTCGACAAAATGTCTTCTTGCTCATGGGGAAACAGATATTAAAAGAATCTGGTTATCTTTAAATACTTGCGGACAAATTTCACCTCCCTTCCCCTTCCCTCGGTGAACCAAACAACAGAAAAATGTAAGATCCCCTCCCCTCGGTTTCCTTTGAACCAAACAATAAGTTAGGGTATCTTGATACTCAAGGTAAGCTCTAATTGCGAAAGAGGTCTTCTTTCCAAACTTGTCACACCTCTAGGATCTGAGACTCACTCTTTATCCATGAAGCACTCTTTCCTTTTTTATCATACGACTCTTAGTTCTCGAGATTGTAAACCGCTACCTCGTACTTACATGCCACAAGATAACATTGGTCGCAACCACGACTTTTGCTTCCATGACTTGCGAGTTACCTGGGTATTCGAGCTCTTAAGGCTCTCTAACATCTAACCTATCCGAATTGGACCAACTTGTATCTTGAGCTACGTGAGTGGGCTCGTGGACAAGTTTAAGTGTTGGGAATCAGGTGATGAAGATTGTGTCCCGCACTAACGACATTGGTTAACACAAGAGATTTGTGCTCAAAAGAGCGTTTTTCGTAATATTTTATTTCATTACGATTACATGTGCTATTTAAAGAAGAGAAATACTAAGCATATAAGAAAATTCTAATTCTAATGAAAGTAAATATCTAAGGTACTAAGAATCTCTAAAATAATCAAATACCTATAGTAGTTAGGAATAGAATTATAATAATAGTTATACTAGGAAACTTGGCAGATTTGCCTCTCAAGACTCACCATCCAGCCTTGCGCCTCAAGCCTCGCATGAAATTCTCGGTTATCACGTCGACGAGGCGTCCCAGCGCGCCCTGTTGATGCTCGCGTGCATTTAATGTGTCGTGCTACCCTTTGACTCTAGAATTGACTGGTCGACAAGTTAGTCGGCGGAGATGTGATTTTCCATCATTAGGCATCAAGTTGTCCTTATTTTATTGCCTTCTGCTCGGCATGTAGTCTAGCTCGAGTTTATGTCACTGTCTTAGTTTTAGCCTCGCTACCTCTTGCAGCTCGGTTCTTCCCAGTCTGAAGGCTGGCCTGCGAACCCATCTGGACTTACTGGATGTGGGCTTCCTTTTCTCTCCCTTGTGGGCTCGCTTTTCAACTCGGGGGTCAACAGTGTGTCTGAGTGACGACACTCAAAATTAAACCACACAGAAACCCAGTATCCAATAAGCTCATGTGACTCAACAGATAAAAACAGATTGAAATCGATTTTTTTTTCATATTCAATCAGGCCCTCAGTAACAAGAACATTTCTCATTATACCTAGACTCTGGTGGGATTGAATGTTTCTGCATTCGAGAAGGCAGAGCGGGCCTCAAAGTAGTTTTTGCCGTGGTCTCAGGTGCTATGATGAGGTGTGCAGGTGGCCGTCTTCTCAGTGTTCTTCCGCTATGGCGAGCCCCGACGGTTTCTTCGGTTTCGGGCGGCGGAACGTTTTTCCCCTTTTTGGGGAGTTGCGGGGGAAAATTCGGCAATCTCCATTGCACTGCTTCTCTCCTCCTGGTATTGGATGGCGGGATTGGCTGTCGAGGCAAGACCGAGGTCCGGGTATTGTGCTTGGGCCTGGTTTGCTTTGATGTCAATTATGGGGGGTTGATGTGGGGATCTCCAGCGTAGAGCAGTGGCGTCTGTCTGGATTTGGGTTGGGGCTATTGGAGTCAGGCTTAGTTAGACGTTCTTCTGCAGTTTTTAGGTTGGATTTTGGGGTTGTGACTCTGTCCGTTTAGATGGAGGTCCGTTTGGCGTTGCCGTCGAGTTGCTTGGTGTAGTTTGTATGTCGAGGGGAGGATTGTGTTATTGTATTTAGTTTTTTAGTTGTTTTAGATTGGTTGTTAGTGTTTGTGTGTTTTCGTTTTACTTGTGTTTTTCGTACAAAAACTGTATAAAGTCGCTAAGATGATTTGCAAACCGCCTCCCAGCCTACTGCCTCTCGTGTAAAAACCAACCCACCACCACATATCCATTTCTCTCTTTCTGTACATTTTTTTTTCGCATTCGTCCCTTTTTCCCACTAGGTTTCTTTGTTTTAAGATGTCGTCCACTGAAGCTAAGACGGTCGTCCCGAATACGTCCGACGGGGAGACTTCCGAGATGGATGAAGCTAAGACAGTCGCGCCGAAGACCTCCGACGGGGAGACGTTCGAGGTGGATGAAGTTAAGACGGTCGTCCTGAAGACCTCCGACGGGGAGAAGTTCGAGGTAGAGGAGGAGGTCGTCATCCAGTCGCTGAAGATAAAGCACGTAATTGAAAAAGAATCCGCCAGCACCGTCATCTCGCTTCCCAACGTCTCGTCGGGGGTGATGACGAGGGTAATTGAGTACTGTAGGTGTCACGCGTTCGGGGAGTACGATTACACAATGAAGGATTACGACGCCGAGTTCGTGAAGATCGACAATAAGCTGCTATTTGAACTGATCTCAGTGTTCTTTGAGCTTCCATCTCTATATTTTGGATTCTTTTGCTTTGGACCTGGATTTTGTTGGCGATCGATTTGGCTTTTCAGCTTGTTTTTTGTGGCGTTTATGGTTTTTTCCTCAATAGTTTGATGACTCTGACGTTATGTTCTGTTCTATTCTGTTAATGCTAGTTGTGTGCTTTGTTTGCTCTTTCACAACTTTGGGTTTTGTAACTCTGATCTTGTATGGGCTTCTTTGTTTTTCCTTGGTGTATTTTACCGTGAGATCTTGGTTTTTTTACTGTACTAGCTTGTTTATGTGGGCTATGAACTAATGCTTTGATTATGCTGTTGTATACACATTGTTCTAAGAATGTGCAGTGCGCGGTAGGCCTACATGCATCCATCTCTATAATGACAAAAGAAATAATGACTTTGGGCTTTGTAACGACTTTTTTTGAATTTATCGATGCTGAGTATTTTGGTGAGAGTATAAGTTTTATGCCTCAAGGATTGTATTAGTCCTAAATTCTAGTAGCATGGTCTGAATTGTTTGCCTATGCCACAAGTGATTTGTGGTACAAAGCTATCCTAGTGCTTGATTCAAGAAGCTTTGATACAAACTTACCTTTCACACGTATATATGCTATTATCCATGAACCTTCTCTTACACGCGTTACCTTGCCCTAGAACCTGAACTTGACACTACAAAAAAACCTCTTACATTCCAACGAAAATTTTCCGTTGGAATTCTTTATATATCCGTTGGAATAGATATTCCAACGGATATTCCTACGTATAAAAATTCGTAGGAAAAACGGCCGTTGGAATAGCTAAAATCCAACGGAAAATCCTATGGAAATAAATTCCTACAGCTATTCCAATAGAAAAAATCCGTTGGAATTCCTCAACCATCCAACAATTTTTCCAACATAAAATTAAGTTTGTTGGAATATTCATTAGAATTTCCAACGGAAATTTTTGCTTGGAATTTTTCGTTGGAATTGAAGTGTTTTCTTGTAGTGTGAGCCTGCTAAGCGAAGGTTATAGTATTGCTCTCGTCTTTTCAGGCTGCCCACTACTTGAACATCCCAGGGAAGCTCGATGTCACGTGCCAAGCTGCGGCGAACATGCTCAAGGGAAAGACACCCGAGGAAATCCGCGCTACTTACAACATCACTAACGACCTCACCCCGGAGGAGGAAGAGGAAATTCGCGAGTACTGGTGGGCCTTCGGGCAGCTGTAGGGTGCCTTTTGAACAAGTGTTGAAAGTAGAAAATCTGGTATAATTTAATGATTGGAGACATTTCCCTATGTTAATTCTCATCTGCAAATCCCGCCCTTGTTTTGTTGCCTCCTGCCATGGCAGCTTTTTGTATTTTTGAGAAGTTTGCTGATTTGAGGATTACGTTAAATCTGAATTTCTCAAGTAGTGCGCTGTTGATTGTGCATGTTTTCGAGGAATTTAAAATAAATGATCAAGAGCCTTTGATTGGAGTGAAGGCCATTAGAGTGCATGGGCTGCGCATGGGCTCTGTATCCTGTCTACATCCGGTTTCATTTCTTATACTTTGGGTTTGTTTGGTTACTAGTGAACATCACCATGCATCTCCTCAAAATATAAGAGTCGAATGTCTCTAAATTTAAGAGATGAACTTGAATAGAAAACGAGTATAGCACAGACTATGCATATGATATATTAATGTATGATAATAATAGCTCTTCAATGAAATAAGTCACTTGTGAACTTACGGTTCTAACTAGGATCAGTTCATTTGGCTCACGTTCGGCTCGGCTCATTTTGATAAATAAAATTAAGCTCGTCGAAATGTCATTAGGTTAACGAATCTGGTTTAGGTTGGGCAGGGTTCAACTCAACTCAGCTCGGCTGAGCTCGACAAGACATTAAGACTCGAAAAATAAAAGCTTTTATATAATTTTATAAAAATTCGGCTCGTTAAGGTTCAAGCTTTTTTTGTTAATATTAAATGAGGTGAGTTCAAGTTTGAGCACTTGCTCATTTAGTTAACGAGTCAAACTAAAGGCATGAGCTCGAGCTCGAGCTCGACTCCACTTGTTTACACCTCCATGCATGAACTTGAATAGAAGTAGAATTAGCATTGTGTTATATTTTTTTAACTATAAACACTGATATTGTCAATTGATTGTGGCGATCGACAAGAAGATTGTTCTCTGGGATTTTTATTAAATAAATGTATTGTAAGTGTACAACCGAGTATGGTAAGGATGTTGTTGTGCATGATCTTGGAATATCGACTCATATGAGTGAAAGATAATGTGATTAATGTGAGGTGGTGATGATCTAATTAGGCGATGGTTGTTGGTGCAGTGATGCTCTTTTGGACCCGGAGTTCGGTATTTATACACGAAAAAATGCGAAAGAACACTAAATGTTATGTGTCTGCCATTGGTGTAGGGTGATGCCAAGTGTATCCATGTAGTACTTGATGGGACAAATTGGTTGGTATCATCATTTTTATCAGTTCTCAAATCAGACTACATGTGATCGACAAACTTCCTCGAGAAGACTCTAAGGGTTATCGGCGGGTCGAGGATTGACAAACCTAACCCTCTGTCTTGGACAGTTAGCAAGAGGACTGGTGGGCTTAATGGGCCCTTTTCAATTTAGCTTGTTGAGCTTGCGTCTTTTGGAGGGACTGGTGGGCTTAATGGGCCCTTTTCAACATGGGTTTAGCTTGTTGAGCTTGCGTCTTTTGGAGAGCTTTGTGATCAAACAATTTTTGGTACAGCATGTTGTACTAGTCTATTGTATTCACAGAAAAATCTACTATAAATTTTTAATTCAACCGAAAAAAAAAAAAGTCAAGCAAAAATTTAATTTGTTCACAATTTTGCAACTCGTCGTAAAATACTAGATATACTAGCTAACAAATTCTTTAATTTCAAAAACTAACATCCGAATTACTAATACAATAGCATGCTTTTCTCTGGTCCAGCTGACATTATGGAAATATCTAGATCGCATGTTGTCTCCTCAGCCGACATTTTTGGTGTCATCGTCTTAAGCTAAATTTTGTTTATTATTTCCTTTATTAGATGCTTTAACAACTGCCAAAAATAGACTTGTTATCATTAAATTAAAAAATAATAATAACATGAAAATTTTGAGAAATATTATTTTCTTAATTAATAAAACAAATCAGTTCTATTTTAGATTTTCAGTTATTAAATATACTAGTATGTACCCCGTGCGATGCACGGGCTGTATTTATTTTAAAGAATATTATGCAATTGAAGTGTATCAATAAAAAAATAGTGATAATTCGTAGAGAAATATCAAATAATATAATGTTCTTCATGAAAAAATAATATCTTATTAAAAATTTCATTGTACACAACATTATTTGTTTGATAACAGAGCAACTCGTCATCCCCACAAATTAATATTTTCAACCATATATCTATTACTTACACGCGAAACAACAACATATAATTGGTCGTGACTAAAAACCAATTTATTTAAGAACATGTCAACGCATGATAAGAACTGACCCTGGCTCTTTTTTATCTATTACTAACACGTAAAACAACAACATAATTGATCGTGACTAAAATCAATTTCTTTATGAACATGTCAATACACGATACGACCCTGACTCTTAAATAGAACCCTAGGATCCGAAGGAATGGCTGCCGTTGGAACTTAGATAATAATTTTAAATTGGCTGCATATAAATTCTGAATATTACTATAATATTATTTAATAAGTTTGAAAAAAATATTAAATATGTATTTTTAGCAGTAATATTCGTGCAGTTATTGATATGATTGAAAAAAAATATTCAATATGGCAAATATCTTTTACAATAATACTCATGCAATTTACACTTGTCATTTTTATTTTGTGTGTTCTTATTTCGGCAATCTTTGTCTAATAAAGGAAATTTTTGTGCAGTTTTAGTTGATAAGTGATAAATTTTAAATTGCACAAAATCCGAACTAATTATATCATTAGCTTAATCTGCGGGTTGTTTACCCAGTCATTGACAACTAATGCATTTTTTTATTTAAAAATTAAGTGTGGATAATGTGTATTTTGAATAGTAAATCCTTTCATATAAGAGATTATTTGTTTTTTAAAATCCTATCTAAATTTTTTTTTTTTCAAAACGATAGATAATATTATAAATCAAAATGCACAAATGTGCAAATACACAGCAGTCAACGGCTGAATACACAACAGCCAACAACTGAAAAAGTGGGAGGACAAGTCAGAAGACCGCCTAGAATCCCGGCTAGCAACGCTAGAATAAAAAACACTCGCAACTAAACTAACCAACAAAACAAACAACTAAAACAAGCTACCCAAGTGTCGGACCCCAACAGAGTAATACCCGAGTGTCGGACCCCAATAGAGTAATTGTTGGTGTTATATACTTAAGCTTTGCTTTAGTGGATATTACAATTGTTATTTCTTGATGAATGAGAATTATGTTTGGTTAAATAAGTTCCACGTTCTGTTGTTTTGCA